AATTACCCCATGATGGCATACCATTTGCAAAAGAAGACAACCCAAGGTATTGCAAATGGGGTATGTCCAGTCTTTTTAGTAACCACTTGGTCACAAACACTGGCCAAAATTAGCGTTCAATTTAGTTTTTTTACTTTTTTCACACACAAACAAATATGAATGCTTACTTTGGCCAGTGTTTTCGACTAAGTGGCTACTAAAAAAGACTGGACATACCCCATATTGAATACCCTGGGTTGTCTACTTTAAAAAAAATATGTACATGTGGGGTGTTATTCAGAGATTTATGACAGATAATAGTGTTACAATGTCACTATTGATAAATTTTTAAAATGTATGTTTTGAAACCGCAATATCCTACTTGTACCTATAGCCCTATAACATGCAAAAAAAAGCAAAAAAGCACGTAAACACTAGGTATTTTTAAACTCAGGACAAAATTTTGAATCTATTTAGCAGTTTTTTTCATTCGCTTTTGTAGATGAGTAAAAGATTTTTCAAGTAAAAGTCAAAAACATGTATTTTTTTTCAATTTTTCATCATATTTTTTTATTTTTTTTAAATTAAAATACATGAGATTATATAAATAATGGTATGTAAAGAAAGCCCCTTTTGTCCTGAAAAAAACAATATATAATTTGTATGGGAACAGTAAATGAGAAAGCGGAAAATTACAGCCAAACACAAACACCACAAAAGTGTAAAAATATGCCTGGTCGCAAATGTACAACATTGCAAAAACAGTCCAGTCCTTAAGGGGTTAACTTTGTGGACCATTCTTTTGACTCAGCCATATTTCTAACATGCAGCCAGGTGTTTCAAGTGTTCTAACTCAAGCACACCTGGTGCAATTAATGAAGTTCTTGATTAGTTGCATCAGGTGTGCTTGAAACAACACTTGTTTTGCATATTTGTGCTGTTTTGAGGGATTCTATTCACAGGGTTGCATAATTTTGAGACTAGAGATGTCATTATAAGCTGCATTTTCTGTTCAATTTGGGGAAACCATTTGAATCATTTGTTGTTTTGAGCTATTTCGATTGCTTTTGTTGATTTGTTCATTGACAATAAACCTAATTTTTAATTTGGGTTGAATAATTTTGATTACAACTGTACGTGAATAATGTTAGAATATTACATTGTTTGATTGTTGTCATTTATTTTTCTTTCTTTATTATTTCTTTTTTAGTTAACTCTATGCTCAATATCAGAACACAGTGTGTGCATTATAGCTTGTGTTTTATGTTTGTTGTGTGCCAGAATATTTAACCCCTTAACCCCTTAAGGACCAAACTTCTGGAATAAAAGGGAATCATGACATGTCACACATGTCATGTGTCCCTACGGGGTTAAGGGCGGCGGGCGTACTATTCCGTCCTTGGGGATCTGGTCCTAAATGCTGGCAGACGGCATAATGCGTCGACGCCATCCTTCCCACTTACAAGATCTCTGGCGATCTCCTGCCGGCGATCACGATGGGGGGACTTGCGTGGCATCCCAGGCAGTCCCCCTGCAGCTGATCTGGCCCTTTCAGGCCATGTGATCATGATGATGTTGCGATCGATCACATGGACGGCATGGCTGACCAAAGAAGTGCCTGCAGGGGGCTTGCCTGACAGTCCCCCCAGTGCCTGTAAGAAAGTTTAATAAATGTTTTAAACAGTTTAAAACAGTTTTTAAGTACATTATATGTACTGTATATATATATATATATATATGTCAACATTGAAATAGCTGTTTAGTGGATAGGTGAGTGCGCTGGATCTTGTGTATAATTTGGCCCCCAGCAGCAACCCATTTATGCATGTTCAGGTGAGTGCAGCCTCCCCCCCATTTCATATATATATATATATATATATATATATATATTTGGGAGTCTAGCCAACTCCTTGGTTTTGCACCCCTCCCTTTCACAGGTGCCTCATCCCACTCTCAGGTTCCTATTTAGCCTTGTACTACAGAGAGCCCCAGATGGAATCTTTTCCCAAAGTAGGTGGGTTAATCTCATAAGGCTGTTAGCGTAGGACCTGCCAAAGTTGGGGTACATTGATGTTGTGGCAGACTTATGCAATCTATGATCATATAATGTAACTAAACTTCCATTATTTTTGCCTAGATTAGTTGGCCAAAATTAGCGTTAAAATTAATTTTGTGCAATTTTTGCACACAAACAAATATGAATGCTAACTTTGGCAGGTGTTTGTGACTAAGTGGCTACCAAAAAAGAATGGACATACCACATTTGTAATACCTTGGGTTGTCTACGTTTGCAAATAGTATGCCATTATGGTGGTAATTCCCATTTCTGGGCTACCATTTGATCTCAAAGAACACAACCAGTCTGGCAAATTTCAATATGTATAAACTGAAAAATGTAACATGCTAAATTTGACCCTATAACATTCCAAAACATCATAAAACCTATACATAGGGGTTCTGTTTTACTCGTGAGACATTACTGAATACAAATATGTGTACTTTATTGCAGTAAAAAGCTAGCAGTCCTGGTGTGGACATTCATACCAGGCTGACTGGCAATAATTCAGGTGGACAACCCTTTTCCTGGGTGGATCTGCCCCTTTGAGCAACGTCACTGATATGATTTTGCCCCCCTTTTACTCTCTCCCATTGGCATTTCTAAATGAGGGATACCAAAGCTGGGAGGTATAGAGCTTGTCATAATACATTGTGCACTGCAGAATTTGTTGGCACTTTATAAATAATAACAATAACAATAATAAAACAATAATAAAATGTAGTCATATCCCCATGCATTAGATATAAACCAGGCGTCTCCAAACCTGTCCGGATAATATGCAATCAGATCTCCTATATTGGATATAACCCTGCAAACCGATTCGGATAATGAACAGGCTACTTGAAATAGATACAAACCAGTCAGTTTCTACGCTTGTCCTGATCACGTGCAGTCAGAACTCCTGCATTATATATAAACCCAGCACTGCCTGTGCTTTTTCTAAAAAAATGTGTAGCCAAATCACCTACATTAGTTAATAACCAAGCACTGTATGAGCTTGATAATTCTGAAAATGTCCAACCAGATCCCCCACATTAGCTTTAAACCCAGCTCTATCTGAGCCAGTCTTGAAAATGTGCAGACAAATCTCCTACAAAGACCTTAGTCTGTCATTCTGCCATTCAAACTATTGCCAGCATTTTTGAACCTATGTCTGAGATAACAGATAAGCCAATCTGATGCAATTCCTTATAACTACAGATAAAACATTTGTTTAGAATTTGCATTAATCTTACATTTTTAATTCACCTGGATCTTAATTGACATTCCTTAAATTAAGTGCTATTTGAACCAGTGAAATTCCAGAAGAATAAATAAAACCGTGTAAAGCAATAAGCTTTACATAGCGATAGGCTGAAGAGCTTTCTATCTAAGACAGTTAACTGTTTTAGCTTTTCATTCTATGCATAATGCTGACCAGAGAGGGCGCCAAAATCACAGTTCAGCTAATACACTGAGAGTCCTTAGGCTGGTCCTGGCACTTGGTGTTCCCTATCATTTGCCTTATTCTATGACTTATTCTTGCTGCCAATGTGTTAATTGCTCATATCTGCAGGGAATTTCTCCAGTTGACTAGTATTTGAGACATGATTTTCTGAAGAATATAAAAAAAAAATAACTCTCTCTCTTTTTTTCTCATTGATCCTTATGAAAGCAACAGTTAATAGCATATCATCATAATATAAGTGCAGCTAACCAAACATAAGTAGAATATGTTCATCAGTTACAAAGAATGAAATGTGGAATAAACCCCAACTAATGTCCTGCATCTATTTTTTTTTACTAGAACATTGCATCTTTGAAATATCTTTGAAACAGAGTTATTATAATCTTGGTTCTGATAACATTTTGTTCACTGGCAATTCCCCCCTCTTTCTTCCCTCCCCCTTCCTCCCCCATGTATTGTTTACATCAAGAATTTATAATCAACGTCATTCCTCTTTCTAGTTTCACTTAACAACCTTAAACACAGCAAGTCATGTGTAACTTGCAAAATCTTTATTTCTGACCACAGGTAAGATTATGGTATATTGTATACTGTCTTTAATTCTATAAGAAACTATCCTCTGATATTGGTTAGAACTCAGTATAAATCTCTTGGGAAATAAATAGCTGATGCAAACTTGCCTGTACAATTATTACTGTAAGTTAATCAATTTAACTGATCATATTCTATACAAAGAAAAATCCACTGCCTCTCTTTATAGCTGAGCTCTCTTTGCATATGTAACAAGAAGGCTGTTGCTCATAAATCAAGATTTTTAGCAGCTTGAAATGGTTAATCTAGGAGGCTGCTGGACTTGCAAATAAGCCTATACTTTAAATAATGTGAAAAATAAGGCTTGCAATGCATTGGTTAATCAGGAAATATCATGGTAGCAGTACATATCTCTGGAGGAACAGTGCTGCATCTGCCAAGTTGCAGAAATGCACAGATCCAGAAATCCTTGCAAGCTAGTATGGATGTGAAAAAGGTAGTTGGAGGCACTAGGACCTGGGAGCCATGGGAAAGGAAGCATTGGTTTTGACACAGAAGAGAAATCCCTTCAGTGCTGGCCCAGAGAACAGAATAGTGAAGTCAGTCATCTGATGCTGAAGGACAGTAAAACAGGAAAGCAAGAGAGAGAGAGAAATAGCTTCCTCTTCAGAAGAATCCACCTTGCATTCTCCACTCTCAACTCTTCTCTCAGCATAACCTTCAAAAAAAGGGACCCTCCCCTTGGAGACTTTATTATTTGTGCATTTGGTGGCAAGGAAAGCTTAAAGGGACAGCTTTGTGTGATCAAAGGCAGCACTTGTGTATATGTGTGTTGAGGAAGGGGGTGAGAGATTGGAAGAAGCCCCCTGCTAACCCCCCTCCACCTCCTCCAGTGCAATGTATCAGCGCTAATGTTTTGCTCACATAGAACGCCAATGTAGCAAAGAGAGAGTAACAATGACCAAGGAATGGATACACTTACATCCCCTGCTCTTCACTTTGAAAATATTTGTGTAAAATTTGCCGCATGATGCTGTCCAGGGAAGCAGATTTTTTTTTCTTTAGGATGCAGCAAATTCTCTGATTTGTAGCGAATTCCAGAAAGGATATAAATAGTAATTGAGTGCAGACCATCGCTATTTCAGAGCGATCACAGGGAGGGGTGGTCTCCCTGACCGACCAGGATTACCTGTCGCTTAATATTCTCTGCAAGTGATGAGAGTGAATTGTCTTTTACATTTGTAAACATTTTCATGCCTCTTAAACCACCTCGGATAATGAGCCTGTCAAAGACTGCCTGGGTTTGGAAGAAAAGGCTGACTTTAGACTAGGAGCCGGGAGACTAGATCTTACAACTTCCACATCACTTTCCCACTACATGGACACAATACTGGGGTGGGCGCCGAGGACAAGCAGGTAGGATCTCCTGATGCTGTACACTTTTTGCTGGTCATGCTGGGATAATGTAGTTGTGGTGGATGCCTGAAGCTGGTATCAGTGTGCTAAAGGATTATTAGCCAATAAAGTGCCATTTATGGAAAAGAGCCTCATGTCACAAGTTTATCTTGCACCTCCAAAATGCCTTTATCTAAACACCATTATTTCATCATGTTCTCCATAGAATTATTAAACTTAGTCTTTGAAAAAAAAGAAAAAAAGAAAAAAACTGAATGTTCTTTTTCTGCAGCGTAGAATTGGCAGTATGAGTGAATAACTGATCAGAACAGCCAGCAGAGCCCACAAGCACTGTCTGGTCCGGATTAAATTGCATTTGGAATAAATGTGTAGAACCGTTATTATCTCTTTCATAAACTGTTCTCACACCATGCATTACTACTTTGAACAGCACATATATATTGCAAAGGCTTATTTTATCATAGTGTTACATAATTATATAAGTTGATGTTCATTCATTATAAAAAACAATGTAAGTGAAACTATAGCATGTGTTGCTTGCCATAGTGGCATTTAAGAGGTTAACTGAGCCACTTGGTTAATGCAATTTAATGGAGTGTTGCTTCAGCTTAATTTGTGATAAGGAGGGTAGTCTCAGTGAGCTGGTTGATGCTAAACATTAATGAGAACCTATAATAGAAGGACAGAGACACAAGTGAATAGGTGATGCAGAAATTACACAGAATAATTTATGGATATGTGCCCTGTAATCATTCTGGAAATTAACGTTTTCTATATAATATGTAAGTTAAGGTGGCTGTAATACTTTCAATATTTGTACATACCACAGGTGGCAGTAATATTCATTTATAATCTTTGGCAAGGTCAGTAATGCTGAGGTAGTCATTTACTTGTTGCATTCTGTTCACATCAGTCAAATGTAACTTCCAGTTCATGAAGAGTACAGTATGGTTAAAACTTAGCTGCATGCCTATTCTTCTAAAACAAATATGCTCCATACATGTTGTAGACCACATGGGTCTTGAATGTTGTTTGAGCCAATTCTGATAATGTTTATAGATCCCGTGGATACATTGTACCAGTAGTGAATATACAGAGGTCTAAAGAAATCAGTTATATAAAACTGACATATACACCAAAAGCTAGCCTGAGGTTTGTACCCTGTGAAACTCTCAACATAATTTGTGTTATTTTTTTTTCCAACATATGTTTATTAATACGCGGGTTGTATTCCATATAGTTTCCAGATAAGTATGTCAATTTCTTATGTCTGACATTGCTCTCATGTAACTCTATTATAGTGCATATATACCGTACACTTTGTTTTTCTATCAATGCCAATTTTTTTTATTAATAATCTTTCAAGTGACTTTAGTTTTATTATAAAGGTGTGTGGTAGATGAGAGGTTTTAAAAGGTTGGGAAAAGTTTCTTGTCATTAGCGATCATATTTCGCAATGAATCAATTAATATAGCACTTATTTATTACTGACATACTTTTGTGGCTCTTGGTGAAAGTGTGCTGTAAATAGCAGAAGAGCTGTGTGCATGGATTACACCTGCTTATGAAATAAAGTAGGTGGTCCTTGCATACCCATTCATAAATAATGGGATATTCCACTAAAGCCTAGTTGGGGTAATTGTGCACGTGTTCATGATGAAAAATAGTGTATTTGCACCACCAGTAGTGATTGGTTCCATACAATTGCTCCAGTGCATGAAGGTACCGCATTCTGAGTCAATTAACAAAACGAGTGGTAAACAAGAACACTCCAATTTTATATACTTCTATACAAAAGATACTTACATAATTATTTTTTAGTTATTTTATTTTCATTGATTACACTGGAATTGAAAAATTTCCACTTACATAGCTCTAAAGGATTGCATGATTTATAGAAAAAAAGAATACAAAAATTTAAAAGGTGAAAAAACATAATCTAGCATGTAACCAATTTTCACTGCTTTATTGTCACATATGTTAGATGCTTGGTACTTATTTTCATTAGAAGTTCTGCAACTGAATAACTCCCTTCTAACACACACACGCACAAACACTTCTATAATTGAAGACATTAATACAGTTTCCCTCTGGGTATGCATTAAAGTAAAAATTGATTGGTGCCACACTACCCAACCATGATGTTCTTCAGCAAATCAGCCATAAAATGCAAATATTTCTGTCCGCTATTGTGAAGCCACTTCAATCTGATTTTACATTTAATATCATATCAAAAACAATCTGGTGGGGGCGGGACTTGACTGGCATGGCGAGCGGTCGCATGCAGCATGAGCTCCTGGAGATTTCTTCAATTATACTCTCATAAGCGGACTCTTGTAACGCAAATCTGACACCAGAAGACCCTGCTGTGACCCTACCACCCCAGGGCTACTAAACTGGCTGCTGGCTCCTCGTCAACTGGTCAGCATCTCACTGGAGCAAGCTTGAGTCCTAGTTGCGGCCTACCACGCGACACAGGAGAGAGGGAGGCGGCCGATCCCTCTACCCACAAACTACTGAGAACGCCCTGGTGAGATACCCCGATTCCCCCGCCTGCCGGTGAGGGACATCCTGGCACCTCACGCTGCATCCCTACCCCCGGGGCTGACCTGCACACACAGTATACCCGCCAGGGCTCAGACTCGGCACCCCATATGGAGACTGGACATAACCTTGAGGGGTAAAATCGGAGCCTAATGGAGGCTTTCGACCACATCTGCACAGCATTTTGGGAGCGGATCAGACTCCATGCAGAAACAGCGGCAGCCCTCTCCTCACAGAAGGCAGACACAGCCACTCCAAAGCACGGCATGCTGGATGGGAGAGATGAACCCCCTAAACAGCAGCGACATTCATTTGATCGTCCGGAAATGAAAAGTAGGGGTAGACAGGGCCCACAGCACAAACAATGCATCCACACCCTACAGAGGAGTCGGAAGAGGCGCCCGCGAAACTTGACTCAGAAGGTTTTTGGCAATAGCATGTCTAACATTTACACATATAGCTTGACATTGCCCCAGTAGTCTAACTTGAAACATAAAGGAGGCACTTATGAAATATAGTGACGTGTTTTTGTAGAATGGATATTTGAGAAAATCTCTATCACACAATTAGCAAAATGGCACTTTATCTTCAACCACAGATGAGGAAAATAACACATACTTTTTGTTTTTCCAAGTAGTTCTAACTTTGGAACCAAAAGTGTTCCAATGAAATTACATTCGTATTATTTTCTAACAAAAGAGCTAATTCCCTTCAATCAATCTTCATTATGAAAATAAACACATTCTTACTGTACTGTATGTTAAAAAGGAGTCTTAATTCCTTCCCTAACAAGATTTTTCCTTACACAGATTATGAGAAAAGGCTGGCTTTTTCGAAGGAAAAATACACAGATTCATTGGAGATTGGGATCAAATTAATTCAGAATCAAAGAATAATATAAATCAGTTGGTATAAATCTATGAACTGATCTTTGCTTTTCATCTTCCATACTTTTCACCCTCCATAAAATAGCTGATCTGACAATATTTAAATCTACTGAGAACACCTTTTTTTGGGATTATAAAAGATTTTTGAAAATTGGCTTTGATTCAACTTCTCTAAATAACAGCCTTTTATAGAGGCCCAACAATCTCTGAATCAATAGCTTACCATGATTTTAATTTCTCAAATAACAATCTATAAATAGTTTATAATTGTCATAAGTATAATAATGTTTATAAATGTTCTATGCCAAACTTTACATTTCTAAAATCACATTATAAAAGGATACATTTTAAACATAACATTATAAAAATGAGGGTATGAATTGTGCTGTAATTCAATGTGTACATATGAATAACCTGTTATTTAGTGATAAATACAGCATCACATCACTTTGCATAATATTAGCATAATCAGATTGTAAAAACAATTGGAAAATATGATTTGGCCAAAGTTACTAATGCGCCTTGGATCTGGAGAATTATTATTTGAATTTTTTTATTGTAACCCTAACCTGTATTTCGGTTTGATTTCTCATTTGGCATTGGATTTAATTATTGGAGAACGGTTTGGTAATTAGGATATTTAAATAGAAATCTCTTGAATAAAGCATGGTTTAGTAGAAATATGCAATCCTTTGTAGATGTTATAATTAAGAAATGCATTCAATTTAATGGCTCATTTTTGATATGTTTCCAGGCTAGACAATTGCATTTATCATGATCCATATCTGAATACAGAAGTGCAATTAAAGCTGATTGCCAATTGGCACAACATTGTGAGATTTTCTGTTTATAAACAGTAGTATTTAAGACAAAATATTTGCTGAAGACCAAATTATGAAAGAAAAACTGGAGCTTGTTTCTAAAGCAATATATAGGAATTTATAGATTGATATGGTAATGTTTATTGCATGGCAGAATTTTTTAAAATGTAAGAAGCAGGTGAGGTGGGACAAGAGGAAAATTGACTTTGGTGTTTGTATGTACTGAGTGCTTTTAAATAATTTAAGAGGAACACAGACAGGAATGCTGCTTGTACAATGTCATAATGGGTAGCCACAATGAACTATCAGTAAACTGTTTAAGCATAGGATAGGAATTAAAGGTTGACCCAGTGCTTATACCCTGGTTTAGTTCAGTATTGGTTTACTTGGATACCAAGATTTATTTGCTATTACACACAATATACTAAAAAAAAGATTATTGTTTACAGTAACGTTTATATGGCAAAATTGGGTAAAACGCCTCCATCTTTAGGTCAGTGTAATTGGACTTGTCTCTAAGGAAAGCAATTGCCTATATTTCAACAAATATTTCCTTTAATCAAAATTCAAACAATGTCTTTTAAACTCTTTAACCAAT